TAAAAATTAAAAAGAAAAAAAGATGTCAGGACATGGAAAGGAGGATCGAGCAGGTGTTTATTTAGCGATGAACAGGTATAAGATGTGCTACAGAAAACAGGTTGCCAGGACTTTTTTAAATGATTCATTTATTTGAAAGGCAGATTCTCTGAGAGACAGGGAGAGACATTGAGAGAGAGAGAGAGCGAGACAGAATATTTTCCAATGCCAGGTCTGGGCCCTGACTGAAGCCAGGAAATCCATATTGGTGTCCCCCACATAGGTGGCTGGGGCCCAAGCACTTGGGCCATCATTGAGTGCTTTCCCAGGTGCATTAGCAGGGACCTGCATAAGGAGACTGGAACCCTGGCTCCGATACGGATGGGCCACCATGGTGGCTTCTCCTTATCCCTTCATTGGTTTTGTTAGTGGAATCCTTGCTCCAAACTCTCCTCTGTGGCAGTCAGCCTTTTGGCAGCCTCTTAGTGGGAGCCCAGGGCCTGAACTCCACCATGGATGGTAAGTGGGAGGATGTGCCATTGCAGACCTGCCCCTGGGGTGCAATTCTAGAAGCTGCTGACCACCCAAGCACAGGGAAGGCAGCCAAGCTCACCCACTCCTGCTCCTCCTGGCCTGCTACGTTTGGGAGCTCCCCGGTGAGGAAACCCTAAGAAAAACACTCGAGGCAAATTTGACTTTTGATGATACTGCAGTTACATATTTTTAATTTTTAAAAAGGTTTATTTTATTTTTATTGCAAAGTCAGATATACAGAGAGGAGAGACAGGAAGACCTTCCCTCTGATGATTCACTCCCCAAGTGGTGCTGCGCCAATCGGAAGCCAGGAGCCAGGAACCTCTTATAGGTCTCCCATGCGGGTGCAGGGTCCCAAGGCTTTGGGCTGTCTTGGACTGCCTTCCCAGGCCAACAAACAGGGAGCCGGATGGGAAGCGGGGCTTGCCAGGATTAGAACCGGCACCCATATGGGATCCAGGCGCATTCAAGGCGAGGACTGCTAGGCTACCACCATGCCAGGCCCTGCAGTTACATATTTTAACTGGTCCCTGAGTTAAGGACCGTGACCAGGTGTCCATATGGGGAGAATTTCTCCTCCCACCTCACGGCCTCCCCTTGCCAGCTTCCAGTCCCTTGTCTTGGCCTGATTCAGGTGTCTACAGGCAGGGGGCCCTTGGAACTGCATGTGCAATCCAAGGTAGGCAGGCTCTTAACTATTTAAACTTTTTCAATATTTAACACGAAGAAGGGGGACCCTTTTTAGTTACAGTGGATCAGCCTATCACAGCTGGATTGCCCTGTTGCTTTTACAGAGCCCCAAGATTGTTAAGACTGGCCTTCTCTTTGTTGTTGAAGGGTCAAAGTTGTTTCCAAACTGCAGCCCACAGTCGGGCACGGGTCACCTTAGTTTGGAAGGCCTTTCCTCCAGGGATGGGTTTATTTTTAGACTGACTTGTATTTCAGCAGCCCCGCTCTAAAGCGGCCAGCCACACTATTGAGGCTCCGGAGTCTGACCTGGTGCCTTCTCCGGGCGCCGCGCGGGTGAGTTACCCTGCATTGGCGAGGCGGGACTGTTCCCAGGGCCCGCGCGCCTCCCGCTGCGTCTCGCCTGCGCTCCGGCCCGCGTGCGCGGAGCTCCCCACAGTCGGCTGGTGTCCGACCGGAGCCCGGGCTCCGGGGAGCCCCTCGGAGAAGCGGGCCGCCGGTGCCGTCCGGAAAGCCGCCAGTGCGCCCGTCTCGGCCCCGCCCGCGAACGCCGGGTTCGGCTATTTCCGGCGCGGCGCCCTTCGGCAAGTTCCGCAGTCGTCTGTCGGAAATGGCTGCCGGCCGGCAGGGGGAGCGAGGGATCCGGCGCGGCCTGGAAGGCGCGCGGCAGGCGGCCGGAGCAGCTTCTGGGAAAGCCTAGTTTCGCTCCGGCGGCGGTGGAGGTGGCTGCGGCAGGGCGTTCCTGAACTGCAAGCCGGTAGGACTCCTGGCGTCGTGGGGAGCTAGGGAGCCGGGGCAGCCCCCCGAAGGGCTCGTGGGAGGCGTCCCGGGGCTGGCTCCGAGAGCTGGGAAGGCGGCGGCTGGACCGGGTCCGGCGGTTCCGGGCGAGGCTGCTACCCGGGCCGGCGGGAGGCATGCAGCCGTGCAGTGGAGTAGGCCTGCCCAGCGAACCCGGAGCTTGGGAGAACTACGAGGCCCTAAGGCTTCGGTGAGAAGGGCTAACGGGTCTCCGCGGGGCTGGCAGCACCTCCCGCCCCTCACGCCCCCCTACGCCCTCTCGAGCCCCAGTTTGGGTGGCGAAGGACTCCTTTGCACCCCTTTACCGGACTCTTCTCCCTGCAAGCCTCCTTCCTCCTCTGCCCGCGGTGCTTGTGCAGCTGTTCGCGGGGAGCATCTTCTGTGGAAGGGCAACCCGGGGCTGTCCCCGGCCCCAATGCTCCCGGTGAGCACACTCGCACATCTGCCCCGGGCTGCCTCCACGCAGTCGGCCGCTGCTGCTCTTTCCTCTCTCTCCTTATTTTTTAATTTCTTTATTTTTCTGGGTTCGCCTCCTTTCACGAGGAGTCCAGGATCAGGATAGCCACTTCCTGTCCTAGAGTCCAGGTGCTGCCGCTCTGCGAGTCCCGGGGCTCCGGCGCGCAGGCCCGGCTCCCGCGCTGGCCTAGCGCTGCGTGGGTAGGAGCGGGGTCTTAGCCCTGCGCCGCGGGGCAGAGCCCGGACCCGGAGCCCTTGAGCTGAAAGTGGGGTGCTGCTTTCTGTCCTCCAAAAGCTGACCCAGCTGCTACGCTCCTGTACGATTATGCTTGGTTCTTAGGTTTGCTGGATGTCTGTTCCCTCGACCTGCACTGTTTTTCTTTCCTTTTGAAACATTCTCAGGGCTTTAAGTTCTTGTGGTCCCACTCCCTTGGTGGAGGACTCACAGGACACCGCTCGTCCGCCACCCCCAATCCCCTCGCTCTCGCCCCTTCTGTGCCACGTGATTTTACTTAAGGGGCGTTTTTAGCATTTCTTCTGTCAGTACGCGCGGCTTGGAAGGCTGGGTTGCCGGTGTTGACAAGTCTGTGTGTTGTGTTGGTGTAGACTGCAGTTTTGTTTTGTTTTTGGTGATCTGTTCTACAGCCTTGCATCCTGGTACACCGAGTGTAGCTTAGGTCCAGAGTGTGTGTTCTAGTAATTCGTGCGGTATAGACAGTGTAAAGGGAAAGCTGAGCGTTCCCAACAGCTTATTTAGCTGGGGAGAGAGACTCTTCCATTTTTCATGACGAAAGAAAAACTGTTCTCTGAAACTCCTGTTTGGTGTGGTTGAGAAGAGCTGCTGTGGAAGTAGTTAGGAGTATCTGTGAGTGAGGAGACTAGACCAGGGAAAGGTGCTTTGTTGCCATCCCAGGGATGCCAGCCGGGAGTTCAGGATGTGTGCTTTCCCAGGGGGAATTAGACTGGCTGTGGAGGGACGGCTCATTGAAGGGGTGCAGGAGTGAGGTGGGGGCAACAGTGCGCGGTGGGGTCCCTCTTAGAGCTGAGCCTGCACAACTAGTTTTCCGGAGAATGATGACAAGGTCAGGCAGTAGGAGGGAAGTGGAGAGCCCACCAGATCCGTCACTGAAATTTGGATGCTTCATTCTGCAGAGGTAAGGAACGTGAGCCAGGGACCGGCCATGAAGTCATAAGAGACTACCCAGGAAGCTCTGCTGGAACAGAAAACTTCTGTTTATATATCCCTTTCTCTTTTATTTGTGTTCCCCTTTCATTTCTTTTGAAAACTAAAACAATAGGTCAGCTAATTCAAGAGGCAAGAGTCACCCATTTGTAGGTTCCATGCAAACATGCTCCAGCTGGTGGAGTATGAGAGGGCTCAGATTACAGAGTGGGCTCACCTGTAACCAAATGTGATCTTTTCCCTACCTGAATTAGTCAAGCACTCTTTTTGCTCTCTTTAATGACTTTCATCACACAGCTGTCCTGGGTGATGTTACTTAGGTGGAAGATAACCAGGAGTTCAAAAAGCTTTTAGTCCTGAAAGTGGACAAAGCACAGTGTAGAGACTCATTCAGTACCACAGGTCCTACACTTAGGCCAGTGGGGGACAGTGGGGACTGTTGTTGACATGCACCTCAGTGCTCCTCCCCAGGCTTGGGGATGGAGCCATGGGAAGATGCACTGTAGAGTCTGGGTAAAAGCAGCATAGACATTAACATGTATCAAAAACAGTGTACGGTAGTATGCAGCCTTGTAATCCCTAACGCAACAGAGAGGCTGTCTTCCAGGGAAACTACTTAAGAGACGAGCAGCTGGCTATGCTGGCCAGTATCTGCGTGGGAGTCCCACCACTCACACGCAAGCCATTGCTGTTGTATATTCTGCCATTTGACTGTGTCTGAGCTTTTTTACTGGCCAGTGCTATTAATGATTAACATCCTAAATGTTTGCTTTATTGACTGTTTTGTCGGTTAGCCTACACTCAGTCGTTTTAACCCTTGTTTCCCCCGAATTTCTGTTTAAGCATTTTCTTTTTTAAAGATTTATTTTTATTATTTTTTTCATTGGAAAGGCGGATATACAGAGAGGAGAGACAGAGAGGAAGATCTTCCATCCGATGATTCACTCCCCAAGTGAGCACAACGGGCCGATGCTATGCCGATCCGAAGCCAGGAGCCTCTTCCGGGTCTCCCACGCGGGTGCAGGCTCCCAAAGCCTTGGGCTGCCCTCGACTGCTTTCCCGGGCCACAGGCAGGGAGCTGGAAGGGAAGCGGGGCAGCCGGGATAGAACCGGCGCCCATATGGGATCCCGGGCGTGCAAGGCGAGGACCTTAACCACTGCGCCACCGCGCTGGGCCCTAAGCATTTTTTTTCAACAAAGTTTTGGCATTCTGAGGGAAGAAGAAAATGTGGTTGGGAATATGCCCTTAATATATGTTCTAAGAGCAAGAAGGCGTATATAAACATGATAGCAGATTGTTTCAGTCTTTTAAAGAACCATACTTCTGTTTTTTTTGAAAGATGGAGACTATATGCTGTAGTATTCATTTTCTTGATGGGAAAGGTAGGTCAGATGGGAAACTGAGGCTTGGGGATCTTTGGTTATTTAAACAAGGCAGATGTAGTAAGTGGCCAAATTCTTTAGCTGGTCAGTAATGATTCCTGACCTGCCCCCCAGAAGCTAAGTTATTACAATGGTGTGACCCTCCCTGGGTGCCTGGGCCAGTTTTGTCGAGTTGATTCCAGGGCAGGGGGTTTCCTTTGAGTGAGCTGTGCCTGACCTCCCTGTGTCACCTTGAAGGCTGCATAGAACAAGTCTAATTCCAGGGCAGTGCTTCAGGTGTGTGAGGATAACCAAGACTGTGGTGTGTGTGGATGGAGGGAGGCCCACCTGGCTTACACAGAAACAGATGCTGGAAGCCACCTCGGAGATCTCACAGAAGAATCTCTGTTCTGTCTTCTAGAGAGCCATGGATTTGGTGATCTGATGCCTGTGGTCTGCATTAGAGAACAAACTGAGACTCTTCCCTTTGTCGGATCCCTCCCTGCTGAGGTCAGTGAGCTGGCCCTGCTCTCACAGGTGGTCTGCGCTGTGGGCCAGCTGTTCCTGTTGTCTTCCGCTTTCTCCTTCACTTCACAGTTTGAAAACCTCTCTTCAGCTCCTTGGACCTCTTTGTTCTTCGTTTGTTAATGACTCTCAGGGTAGCATTCAGCATGGAATACAGTGTTGACTCACAAAGTAGAGCAAAACTCCCTCCTTGACTTTTGACTTCTTCTTTGTTTTACAAATACAAGTAAAAAGCAAGGTGATAGGTGTCCCCCCCCAAACAGTGTGCGTGTGTGCTCCTATGAAATGAAGTCATTTCTATGTAATTTTGTGATTAAGTCCTGAACTTTAGCAGATTTTATCTGCTTAGGTATTCTAGACTGCTCATTTATTTATTTCTGTTTTGAGTTTTCATCCAGTTCTGATTTATTCCTCTCAGTATGGCTGTTTCACTTCTGTGAAACAGCTGTTAAATAAAGCACTTGTGGCTTTGGATGGAGGGAGTTGTAGATGTGGTCCCAAACCATTATTAGTGAATTCAGTGCAAAGTTAAAGAGGAGCTTAAAAGAAAACCCTGAGGGCCCGGTGCGGTGGCACAGTGGTTAAGGTCCTCGCCTTGCACGCCCGGGATCCCATATGGGCGCCGGTTCTATCCCAGTGGCCCTGCTTCCCTTCCAGCTCCCTGCCTGTGGCCCGGGAAAGCAGTCGAGGATGACCCAAAGCTTTGGGAGCCTGCACCCGCGTGGGAGACCCGGAAGAGGCTCCTGGCTTCGGTTTGGCATAGCATTGGCCGTTGTGCTCACTTAGGGAGTGAATCATCGGATGGAAGATCTTCCTCTCTGTCTCTCCTCTCTGTATATCCGCCTTTCCAATGAAAAAAATAATAAAAATAAATCTTTAAAAAAAAAAAAGAAAACCCTGAGTCTGGAGAGTCACTGTGCTGCCTTGGGTTGATGCTTTGTCCTCTGCCCTCATCTTTCCCCACCTCCCCCACCTTTACCTTTCTGAGTGCAAGGTTCTAGAATTTAAAGGAGATCTTTGAGGTTCTCTACTTTCATCCTTTAATGTAATGGCTTAGGAGAGGAGAAAGAGTTGAGTCAAGACGAACAAGGAATTGTGAAGGTAGAGGCTCAGATGGATCAGAAAGATAGGCATGATAAAGGGACTGCAAAACTGGAGTCTGTGGTTGAGTTCCCCCCTGAAGGTTGAGTCAGCTGGTTTATGCTTAGCTTAGCAAGCTTTGGCTTCGGTTTCCCTGTCTCATGTAGGGAGGCCCAGGGTACCAGTTGTATGCTTCCGTAGTATAAAATAGAAGTCATGTTTTCTTGAGAAACAGTAATCTTCGATCACATCATAGCACAGGTGCTTGGTTGCACATCTAATTGACTGTTCAGGGAAAATATGCTAGCCAAATCCATGCGAAGGCCTTATTAAAAAGCAAAACTTGTATTTATTCCTCTCTTCCCTTATAAAAATAATGAGCTTTGCTTTTTAGGAGGGAACGAGAGAAAAATAGAAGAATGCAGAAACTGCTATCTTCTGGAAAGGCCCCTGTTGCTATTTCTGCTTCTATTTATTTTACTATTCAGAAATAAGTACATATGCAGTTTAAACATTTGATATCCTGCTGTATATATGGTTTTGAATCTGTAATTCTACTTAACATTATATTGTGAACCTTTCATGTTTTCTTAAATGGTTTAAAAGCGTACTGGTAGTATAATAGTCATATTAGTGACAGTTATTGCACTGTGTATTTAACCCTGTTCCTAATCTTGGACATTGTTAACATGTGAACATTGTTAGAGCAGGTTGAAGGAAATGCATCTTTATGCACAAATGTTTGTTCACCTATAGTGTATTGCTAAAAAGTGTAATCATTGACTCAAACTTATGAACACTTTAGATTTTGTTACAAATGGCCAATTAATTGACACTTTAATCTTTCTGTTAATACAAGGACGCTTGGCACACTATAGCTGGCAGCAGAATTCAGAGACAGAGTCTATTGTGTGAATTTGAGCGTTTAGCCTGAACAGCCCTGAGGTTGAATGTTTTTTCTAATTCATGATTCTGTCTTAAGAATAGCTTTTGGAGGTGGAGCTGCAGGGTCAGGGTGTGTCAGTTTCCCACCCCATGAGGAGGGTGAAGGTGTTTGCTGGGATCTCAGCCAGCACCAGTTCCTGCAGTTTGCAGCTCTTTCTGGTTTATAGGTGGAAAATGTTACCATATCCTGTTGAAAGAGTGTATTTCTTTGTTTACCGGGAAGTTAAACATGTCAGCATGTTTTTTCATTTGAACTTCTACTTTTTGTGTAACTTCGTTTGTAACCCTGGGCCACTGTTGCGGTTCCTTTAATTCTTTTAACCTTGCTTATTGGAAATGCTTCTCTGAATCAAATCCAAGTTGTTTTCTTAGAAATATGGAATCCTTTGTAGACAAATCCATTGTGCTTTTTTTTAAATTGATTTCACTTTCGCTTAGATTCCTAACAGAGTGGCTGTGCTTAGCTAGAGACAAAATTATGTTTAGGTTTCTGTTTTTTTCCCCTCCGTCATTTGTTGGAGTTAACTCCTGAATCCCTTTGGGACTGAGTTTGGATTTGATGTGTCTTGCAGGAATATGACTTGTCTTTCTCCCCAAATAGCTGTAACATTATTTATTGAAAAATCTTGCTTAGGGTACTTTCAAGTGACTGCAACAAGGCAATACTATTTATAATACAAAAGTAGCAGGTAGTTTTGTAAAATGGTTGAAGACAAAATGCATCTTAAGCAAACAGACAAGTGTTAGACCCTGTATGGGGCCCTAGGTTGTGCACACCTACATTTGTATCTGGGCTCCAGCATGCTTGCTGTTTTGTTTTGAACAGGCCGCCTAGCCTCAGTAATTTGCCACTTTACCTGTTAAGTGGAAATAACAACCCTTACCCACTTGGTTGATAAAATGAGATAATATGTAAATTAATGGTAGTTAGAAAAAGCTCTCCCTCTCCTTCTTCCCATTGTTTGATGTAGCTGTGGTCCTTCTACTTTAATTAAAGTATATTGCTGTGTGTTTTCCTTAGTTATATACAATTATGTTGATTCAGATACCATCTATCTGAATAAGAATTACCATGAACCAACCAGTGGCACTCTTTTCGGGAGTTGTATGCTTTGCACTCCTGGGCCCTTTACAAGCCACAGGAACCTGGGCCCCCACTGGGGAGTTTTGAGTCAGTGTAGGTTGTATCTGGGTTTATTATTTCCTAAGTGAGTTGTGACTCTTTGGGCTCCTGGTTAAAAACTAACTGGTAAGATATTATACTTTTGATTTGTAGAACATTATCAAACTAGTAGGAAGGAAAACAGATAGAGGTAATGGCATGATTTTCCAAATTATGGATTTAACTCTGGGAGTTGAGACTACTAGGTTTTTGTTTATTGCAACTAAAAGGGTGACTTAGGTCAATCTGCTGTCTCAACTTGTTAGTATATATATAATTGTATATATATATGATTGTATATGTAATTGAGCAGTGGAAGGATTGCTTACTACTTGTTCATCTGTTCCTTTTTTATGTGTGTGACTTGTCTGCTGGTGGCCTTTGTAGAATATCTCTAGATTTAGAAATCTCTTGAGCCCAAAGAACACTCGTTTTCTTCCTTTATAAAATCATGAATTAAGAATGGCTTAGTTCTGCAGTCCAATCTCAGCTTTCTGCTCCATGTGTCAAAGCATAACCGGTGTTATATACTTTGGCTTTTAGTTGTAACAATCTTCTGTTTCCCTTATTTTATTCTGTTAAGTTTCTAAAGTTAATAACTGTGGTGGTTGTATCATGGGAAAAACCTGGCTTTGATCTCCTGAAGCTTGTGAATTGCCTGTATGTGGTTATTTTTTCCCCTTCGGTGTCCACGAGTTTGTGTGTGTATATGTGTACATTAATTTCTTATAAGACAGTTTTTACTTATTACTTTCATGGATAGTGTTTTTTTTTTTTTTTTTTTTTTTTTTTTTTTTTTTTTTTTTTTATTTTTTTATTTTTTTTTTAGGTTTTCTTTTTTTTTTTTTTTTTTTTTTTTTTATTATTGTTGCTTACATTGTATTGTGTAGTACAGTTTCATAGGCGCTGGGGATTCCCCCCACCCCTCCCATACCCCTCCCCCCATGGTGGATTCCTCCACCTTGTTGCATAACCATAGTTCAAGTTCGGTTGAGATTCATTGCTTGCAGACACATGCCTAGCATAAAGTTCAGCGTCTTATTGTCCAGATAAGTTCAGTGGCCTCTTGGGGAGACCTTCTATGGTCTGAAAATAGGTCTAACAGAGTAAAGATCCAGTCAGTTAAAAGCCCCAACGAGGCCACAGTATCAATATACAACATTATGGAATTAATTGACATAGTATTGGGTAAACAATATGTTAAAAATAATGCAAGTTCCCTTCTTCGAAACATCTGGGTTGAGACAGTATCAATGACAGGTTCAAAAAAAAAAAAAAATAACAAACAACCAAACAAAAAATTACAGGTTAAATCAAGGCAAACATGTGGTATCTAATCTTTTGGGATTCGCTCATTTCCCTTAGCATTATAGTTTCCAGTTGTACCCATTTAGCCACAAAGAACTGCATTTTGTTTTTTTTAATAGCTGAGTAGTATTCCATGGAGTAGATGAACCAAAGCTTTCTTATCCAATCTTCTGCTGATGGGCATTTCGGTTGCTTCCATGTTTTTGCAATTACTGATTGTGCTGCAATGAACATAGGGATGCATGTTGGTTTGTCGTAAAACAGGTGTTTTGGATATATTCCTAGGAGTGCTATTGCTGGGTCATATGGTATGCAGATTTTGAGTTGTTTGAGTGTTCTCCAGACTGATTTCCATAAAGGCTGTACCAATTTGCAGCTCCACCAGCAGTGGAGTAGGGTTCCCTTTTCCCCGCATCCTCGCCAGCAAGCGTCGTTGGTGTTCTTGTTTATGTGGGCCAATCTTACTGGTGTTAGGTGGTACCTCATCGAT